AAAGGATGAACATAAGGCATTTATTTATTATCAAAAATCTGCAGAGATGGGACACGCTAGTGGAACATTTAAAGTTGGAGATTGTTATTATAAAGGAATTGGAGTTGAAAAGGATAAACATAAGGCCTTCATTTTTTATCAAAAATCTGCAGAGATGGGACACACTATTGGAACATTTAATGTTGCGTGTTGTTATGATAAAGGAATTGGAGTTGAAAAGGATGAACAAAAGGCATTTACTTATTATCAAAAATCTGCAGAGATTGGACACACTATTGGAGCATTTAATGTTGGATGTTGTTATGAAAAAGGAATTGGAGTTGAAAAGAATGAACGTAAGGCATTTATTTATTACCAGAAATCTGCAGAGATGGGTGACGCTGATGGAACATTTAATGTTGGAAATTATTATTATAAAGGAGTTGTAGTTGAAAAGGATAAACATAAGGCATTTATTTATTATCAAAAATCTGCAGAGATGGGGCACCCTCGTGGAACATGTAATGTTGGAAATTGTTATGAAAAAGGAATTGGAGTTGAAATGGATGAATATAAGGCATTTATTTATTATCAAAAATCTGCAGAGTTGGGAAACATTAGTGGAATATTTAATGTTGGAAATTGTTATTATAAAGGAATTGGAGTTGAAAAGGATGAATCTAAGGCTTTCATTTATTATCTAAAATCTGCAGAAATAGGACACACTCTTGGAACATTTAATGTTGGGGATTGTTATTATAAAGGAATTGGAGTTAAAAAAGGATAAACATAAGGCTTTCATTTATTTTCAAAAATCTGCAGAGATGGGACACGCTAGTGGAACATTTAAAGTTGGAGATTGTTATTTTAAAGGAATCGGAGTTGAAAAGGATAAACATAAGGCTTACATTTATTATCAAAAATCTGCAGCGATGGGACACACTATTGGAACGTTTAGTGTTGGGTGTTGTTATGATAAAGGAATTGGAGTTGAAAAGAATGAACATAAGGCATTTATTTATTATCAAAAATCTGCAGAGATTGGACACACTATTGGAACATTTAATGTTGGATGTTGTTATGATAAAGGAATTGGAGTTGAAAAGAATGAACGTAAGGCATTTATTTATTATCAGAAATCTGCAGATATGGGTGACGCTGATGGAACATTTAATGTTGCGTGTTGTTATGAAAAAGGAATTGGAGTTAAAAAGGATGAACATAAGGCATTTATTTATTATCAAAAAATCTGCAGAGATGGGTTATGCTAAAGGAGCATATAATGTTGGATGTTGTTATGATAAAGGAATTGGAGTTGAAAAGAATGAAAATAAGGCATTTGAATGGTATTTGAAATCTGCTGAAGGTGGCAATCCGAAAGGACAATGTTATCTTGGACTCTGTTATGAAAAAGGTACTGGTACTAATGAGAATAAAGAAGAGGCATTTAAATGGTTTCTAAAATCCGCCAAAGGCGGTAATCCTGCAGGACAATATAATCTTGGGCATTGTTATGAAAATGGAATTGGGGTTGAAAAGGATAGTTACAAGGCATTTATATATTACAAAAAAAATCTGCTGATATGAACTACAAAGAAGGATCGAGTAAAATGATCAGTCCTGATGGAATGTTTTATATGGGAGTTTTTTATGAGAATGGGATTGGGGTTAATCGAGATATACATAAAGCATTCAATTATTATAATAGATCTGCTAAAATTGGAAATAGTGATGGAATATATCGGATTGGCATTTGTTATCAAGATGGAATTGGAGTTAAAAAAGATTTGCATAAAGCATTCATTCATTATGAAAAATCAGCAAAAGCAAAAAAAATGTTAATGGAATGCATGCTCTTAGCAATTGTTACAAAAAAGGAATTGGAACGTCAATAGATTTGCAAATGGCTGAGCGTTGGTATCAAATGTAAGTGTTATTTTTAGTCTATTGCACACAGAATTATTTAATAACCTTATATATTTAATTATGTATTAGGGGTGTAATTTCATCATCAGGTAATAATTATTCATCACTAAATCTGCCTGTTAATGATATGAAAAAAAAACTTAAAATTGTGAAATTTTTAGCTGCAAATGAAAGAATGGAAAATCCTGATATAGGTGATGACTTAATAAGAATGTTAATTGAAATTGATTGTCCATGGATTCCTTATAACGAGTTTGAAATCATCAAAGAAATAGGACAAGGTGAATTTACAACTGTATTTCATGCTAGGTGGCGGGATCATAACAATGGAATAAGAGATGTTGCACTTAAGTCACTCGATAGATCATTAGTAATCAATGATTATTATGGCTCATTTAAGGAAGAGGTAATTTCTATTTATTAATGATATTTAATTAGATATCCTTTTACTAATCTATATGATATCAAATTTTTAATAATAATAAAGTTGAAGGCATATTTGGACATGCATAATGAGAACCCCACATTCTTAAAGTGTTATGGAATATCAAAAGATAATAATTCTGAAAACTATATCTTGGTTCTTGAATATGCGGCAAAGGGATCTCTGCGTGATAATCTAAATTCTATAGCACAAATGAAGTGGAAAGATAAAATTGCTATATTGCTTTATATTGCTTCAAATCTTCAAACTATTCATTCTAAAATTCGTATTCATGGTGGTAATATATTACGAAATAGTTTGCATGATGCATATATTGCAGATTTGGGGTCCTCAATACTAGCTAATATGGCAGAAAATAGTAACCGCTTTGGAGTATTACCCTACATGGCTCCGGAAGTGTTAAAAAAAGAACCATATACCACAGCATCTGATATTTACTCATTTGGCATTATTATGTGGGAAATTTCAGCTGGAAAACCTCTAAAATATAACCGAAGCGATATTAATCTTATTCAAAATGGTCTCCGTCCAGAATTTTCAAAAGAAATACCGTTATTTTACATTGATTTGGCGAATAATTGCATGGATGCGACTGCAACTGAACGCCCTTCTGTAAGTGATATTCAAAAGCTTTTGAACAGTTGGACAAAAGAAAATTACTATGTTAGAATTTTTGAAAAGGCTGATATAAAAAGTTATGAATATAAATCAGAAAATTCGGCAGATTTATGTGAAAATTCCATAATCAAACATTAATCAATTAATTCAGAATTAACGAACTCAACTATTGGCACAGATGATTTTAATCAGTTTATAATATGACAAGGTTGTCAAGATTGATAAATTATAAAAATGTAAATCATTTAAATTTACAAGACGTTTTACAATTTAGGCTACTCAAGCACTTTATCTATAGTTTATATTATGATTTATCAAAGTACCTAGTTATGGTGGCCGTTTTTTTATTCAAAGTTAATATAGCGTATTTTGTATAATGAATCATTGACATGATTTTTTGTAAGGATTAATTTACTAATCAGAAAATATCAACCACTGGCTAATGATATTTTGAGGAATCATCCATTTGTTATCGTTTATTGCCTCATAACTATATGCGTTCATAAAATTTATAAATCCTAATTTTTACCGAATGCTAGACACATAGAACTAATAAATAATTACAAAGTCTACCATGAAGAGACGTTTAGGTAGGCATAAGAACGAATGCAATGTAATTGAAAAAGCAACGATACTTTAATTATTTTAGTTATTCTTTTTTTCAAAAAAAAAAACCACGCTAATATGAAATCACTCTTTGCGTTCTAACTAAAGAGAAAAGGCTCCTTGCTCTCACTAACCCTTTCTTAACTCAAACCCTGGCCCTTAACTAGGATGTACACCTCGCACCAAAATTAAAAACGAATCACATTTAAAATTTCATTTAATTTTAAGAACTTCAATACTTCAATTTCATCAAATAAGAAATCAGTTCCATAGATTTCTGTATCTCCAATTTGTTTTTCCTAATAATTATCCTTATTATCAAAATTCACCTGCTACAATTAGGTAAGTGACAGATATTATATAGTTATTGCATACTTCGTATGCAATAACTGCTGTATTTTATGGACGATGATGATTGGTTGGTAACCCAGCCGGTACGGCTGGTTTACCGAACGATCGGAAGAGAACATAAAATACAGCAGTTAGTGCATACGGAGCATGAAATAACGGTTTTATTTTATGCTTTACTATCTCAGATTTATGAAATAGTTCAATTATTTTATCATTTAAAAATACCATAAAATAATTGATTTATTTTATAAACTGATCATAGTGAATTATTAAATAATACGTAATATTTTTTACTATACCCTCTACCCCTCCCCCACGTAAGAGAAATTTGATTTACTATTATAAATTTAGATTTCTAACGTAAGAAAATCAGACCCCTCCCCTCAGAATATTACGTTATCTGTTATTACCCTAAATAAAATAGAAATAATTGCCAAAAGTTGGTCCTACATCATCACATCCAATTACTTCACTTGGATGTATAATTCTACTAAGAATAGATTTTGATAAAATTTTTTGTTTTCACTGAAAAATGAAACTGTCAGCGTTTTTAGCCATTTAAAGATTTAAGTAGATGGCCAAACTAACGGATTTTATACCCTGGTCACTATATCAAGTCACAGAGCACAAATCAGTTATACCCTGGGCACTATGTGTATAAGCGGGAATTTCATCCCGCTTATACCCAACTGCCCAGGATATAACTATTACATATCCACCTAGTATTTAATTCGTACTGTAACCATCGTAAGGGAGAGTTTTGTATTGTCATGCCGAGTTTAACTCCGATGGTTGACGTTAGAAGAGTCACATGAATTGAGTAATAAATTATGGTATTCGGATATTCATGATTTATTAGGCATTTATTATAAAAAAGAATGTGAATGTATATGACCTTTATTTATTGAGGAATTTTGGGAGAGCGAATGTTATCCTCAACTAAGGATGAAGACACACTCTTATATACATTCAGATTTTACAGATAGTCAACATCAGGATCTCAACGCTTACGCTGTGGACTCTACATTTGATCAAGGCGCAATGATTACAAGTTTATGCAAGCGCGCATGCTCGCTATTTGGAGCGTAAACGCTCTTGCGTGAAATAAGCTACCAAGAATACATAATAATGCCTAATTACTAAGGTAAGATTAACATGACTATGATGGTACAATTATGGAAGGTGAGTGATGACTTAAAGAATTAGACAAATACGGAAATGAGGAGACACAGGAAAAATTAATCGTACAGCACCATTAACTTTCATGATAATTACAGTGCCCAGTATATCAACACAAAATCTACAAAATGATCCACAACCAAATCCATCCCTATTTCCTCTGAAGTAATTCAAATTTATAAGGCACCCTTATAATATCATATGTTGATGGCTTACGATCAATCCAAGAAAGTGTTCTTCTTCATTAATAATTTTACGTGCAGGTAAAATGAATGTAGAGATTAATTCGTCAGGAGCCATAATCTTTGTTGTAATATCATCCCATAAGCTCGATCCAAGAATTTGTCTATAAGGTTTAACTTTTGTCACCAAATCCTTTCCAGACATTTGAAAATTAAAGGAATACAATTATTAAGTGTAGTCTTCAATGTCGTTAGTCGATTGAGTAATATCAGAAGGCAGGCCAGGAATTTGTACTTTTCCCCATTTAATTGTAAATCATCTCGCATTAAAAGAGTTACCAACGCGAGGATGTCAGTGCAAAAAGTTTGTAAATCCTTAAAATTATTATTATGTTGAAAACTAGTAAAATTGACATGAGTAAATTTTAATCTAATCCAAGAGCCTTTATTATCAATAAGATATGATTGAATATATTCAACAAGTTCCTTAAGACCCAATTTTTTAGAAGATATTAAAAGATCAAAGATAGTTGATGGGAAATTTTCTAATGGAATTATACCATCGTAAATGTATCTAAATTAAAAGCCATTAGTTAGAATATTAATTACAATTAATGTTATTAAATAATAAGTTTCCTACTTACTTAAAATTTTAAAAGTCTCTTCAGAAATATGATGTATTGTAATTTCAATACTATTATTCTTTTTAAGTGAAGTTGACGAAAAAATGATGAGCGATATAATACTAATGAATATAACGCTCAAAACAACTCTGTATTTATTCGTGACATTTGAAACTTGAATCAAATCCGAGTTCATTTTTATAACTACCTATAAAAATTTTGTCGATCAAGCAGGTTTCAAGGTGTAATAATAGAGATTACGTACGTACGTACGTACGTACGTTGTGACGGGTTAATTTAGTGTCACATTCCCGAAATCAGGCTGTGTCAGCCATCCATTTCTATTTTTAGCATATATATTTTCTATTATATGTATATTTTTAGTTACGATAATTAGTATTTCCTTATGTGGCTAGAATGGTGAGGGAAGTAAGAGAAGTTAGCGAAGTAAGAGAAGTAAGCAAAGGAAGAAAGTAACTTCGCTCACTTTTCTTGCAAGTAAAAGTCTATATAAAAGGCTCTTAGTTCAACTAAAATAAAGACAGACTCGTAAGAGTTTTAACTTCGAAATCATTGTAGTAGAAGTTGTTCCTTAATAATTGTTCTTTAAACCCAAAATCGTTCTGATAAACCTAAAAACTCTGTCCCAGTATTAGTATAGAAATTATTGCTCAAGTAAAAGTTCTGTATAACACTTCGAAATCAACGTAGAAGTGTTAGACCCAAATTGCCTTTTCTTGAAAAAACATATTATAAAAATAAAATACTTATCGACCAAAAACTCCTTGTCCCCGTGACCCCAATAAAAGATATTTTCTTTCAATTATTCTAAACGTAGAATATAAGAGAAAGAGTATTGAAAGTGTAATATAACGAAAGCACCCTTATTAAACCCTTATTCTTCCCATGACGCATTGTTATCACTAATTAAGATAACAATCAATTAATTGATCTTTGAAATTACCCGTGACCTTATAACCCTGTGACATCACCGGCTAATTGTTTCTGATACAATTATTTCCTGTGATGTAGATCATAGATTAAATTAAGACATTAAACTTCTGAGTGCTGCAGTTATACAAGTGACACCACACGTGACCCTGAAGAAAAGCGAAACCTTGTAGATTAAAGAATTAGAAGCATTAAGGGTTAGAAGTATTGATACAACAAAACAATAATAAGTAAAAGGATACAAAAGACTCATTTGAGTGATGGACCAGGAAAACCTGTCTTCGACACTTTTTTATCATTTTCAAGATTTTTGATTCAAACCAAAATATTGGTTTTTGTTAATATGTAGTACATTTTTTATTCTACATTTATTAATAAATTATTGAGATTTTTCAACTTAAAAAAAACAATTCTTCGAAAAATTCAATGTTCTAAAAATAGATTGATGATCATTAAATCATCCAATCAAAAAGTGACAACAGATTATCATTGATAAAAAAATTTTTACTGCTATGTACAAAAAAAAAAATTTTATATCTCAGATTTTTACTTTAATAAAAGAGAAATTATTTATTAAGCCATGATATGATGGCTTTGGACAAGTTATTTCTTGAAATTCTATATCTACATATTTTCTTATTTCATAGTAAAGATACTTTTGATACTCTTTTGATAAAGGTTTTAAAGAAATTTTTTTAAGAATCTCATTAACATTGAACTTATTTTTTAAAATATTAAATTTACTATAGGTACAATGTGCTTCAGTTTGATACAATACCTTTCTGGGATTTTTAAAAGTAAATAAAAAGTGTTTATACTTTAAAATTCCAGGTAGTTTTTTAAAATGTGGTTTTAAAAATTTAGAAAAATCGTAATAAGCCCATTCTTCACTATTATTGTAACATATTCCTTTATTGGTATTATTTTTTGTTGACTTATTAATTACTTTTTGAACATCATCTACTGTGTTGATAATTGTTTTTTAATAAAGTGTTTTAATATTACCAAAGTATCCATCACATATAAATTTTGTGTGTCTAGTTACTATAAAATTTACCTCAATCATATCATACATTCAAACTAATATAAGCCAGCACCAAAAGTATAATGAGAGATTATTCTTATTTTGTGCTGAGCAATTATCACATATTACTTTTAAATGTTTTTTATTATTATAAAATCATTGTAATCTATTATAAACAAGATTAATTGTTGTATTTGCTCCCTTATTTGTTCTGTGAGGAAACTCATTTTCAGCAATTAAATAATTTAATTGTTGAGCTGGATTGTCCAGTATTACAAATACCAAAAATATGAGCCTGAAGCGCTGATTTAAAATATGATATACCAATTTGTTGAGGAGAATAAGGTACAGGAACATTCTGTGCCCAATCATAACATACATGTCCTGTATCAGGTAAGATTGTACTTAACAAAATGTTGTTATGATAATATTCCCATTCTGTTTCTGCTTTTTGTTTATGATTATCTAACCTTTTTTGAACTAATTCTTTTCTTCATTATAATTTGCACTCCGAATTTTAGAATTTAACATTTCACATGTTTTATATAAATCTGTACTAGATAACATAAATTTTATATACGGTAATAACTCTTTTCAAATATGAACAAAACTTTTATAACTAATTTTATCGAATGGCTTTTCAGGAAAAATATTAAAACATTCGACAAAATTAATATATACTTTAGCATAATTTTTGTTAGTTGGTAAGTAAATTATTGATTGTGTATCTTCTTGTAAATATCTACCTGGAGAAGGATATTCATGAATATTAGCATAATTACTAATAAATATTGAAACTAAAGTTAAAACTGCTTGATCAATTGTTATACGATTTTTTATTTTAGAAATTCGCTTTGTATTGCCATATACTCGTTCAACTAATCCTTTAGTTACTAAATTTTCTTTAACATGAATAAGATAATCATTTCCAACTCTAATTAACTTAAGATATGTATTTTTACAGAGTTTAATATCATTATTAAATTGATAATTAAAATTTTGTCTAGTATTTTCTTTAGTATTTTTATTTATTTGATTATATTCAAATGCCATAAGCTGGCCCATCAAAACTAAATCAAGCTCTTTTTTATCTAAACTATGAAATTGCATATGTTGTTCAAAAAATCGCTTAAATCTAACTTTTTCAAAGCACTAATAAGTTTTTCTCATTCGACATTCACAGTTTTTGGATTGAAAAAATTTCCATAAATCTTGTACAACTTCTTGTACCAATTCATTATTTTCATAATCATCCAAACCTAGCTGTTCTAAAGTAATATGTGATGGAAAAAAATTATTTTCTTTATTTTCATTTAAAGACATTGCTAAAGATGAATAAGATAATAAGTGATCACGTGATCAAAATATTGATTAACATTATATCATGTGATTGGATGTCTAAAAATAGATCAAAAATTCAGGAGAAAAAACAACAAAAATTTAGGTAATACAAACATTTAATCACTAATTTCTCAAAATGGAAAATCTCCTTCGAAGATGGATTTTCCTAGTCCATCGCCCATTTAAGGTCCTATACACCACTTCAAGACCCAAAAGACTTTGAATCTTGGACCAAGTCAACCACGCCTCTATTCGAAGCCTTCCGCTTCAAAGTCCTAGGAGTCTTTATACGTTGACTCTATATTTTGGATATTGGATTAGTAGATTCTATCATTTCTGGAGAGTTTAGATTAGTTGTTTGTGTAGCATTAGGTTTTAGGGTACCAGTCACACCTTCACAACATACGTATAGATATGCATCTGATTGCATGTGGTAAAGATTTTTACCTTGCGTACGTACTTAAAGTCAATACATTCCTTAATGTGTAATATATTAGGAACTTAACAAATTATTATCATTCTGGTCTGTGGAAATTTTGAAAATTATAATTTATAAACATAAAAGTAGAAGAATTGATTGTTTTTTTGAATACAATAGAAGCTAAAAGTTATGAAGAAACGAAGGGAAACATACTCTTTTTTGAAAACCAATTTGGTTAGAAATAATGCTAGTAAATGGGTTTCTTTGTTACAATTTATAATTATCTTTGGAATTTTTTTTATTTAGGCTGTTTGGAATTGTAATTTCGTTTAACGTTCCCTTTTGAAGCTTAAGCCCATAAGTTTTTATGATTTAATTTTAACCTTACAAATTTAATTCTAATTTTACTATTTATTATTAAATAGATCAGAGATGAATGGGTTTAATAATTTATCGCCATAGCGATGTATCGCCAGCCTATGCGGAGTTTGAAATTTTGATGATTTGTAAGCAAAATTTCAAACTCCACATAGACGGAGTTTGAAATTTTGCTTACAAATCATCAAAATTTCAAACTCCGCATAGGCTGGCGATACATCGCTATGGCGATAAATTATTAAACCCGAGATGGATTATATTGATAAAATTTATTAAGCATGCAAGACAATTACAAGAATTGGCATCATTAACGTACAGAATAATGAAGCAACGGGGTAAATACTGTAAGCCAATAATTATAATTTGAGAACTAACTCTATCGAAACCACCCTACACATATTTGTTTTATATGATTAAAAAAAATCTCTAACGCAATCAAAACCTCCTTACGTGCTTTGTTTTTGTAAGTTAATCACCTCTCTATCAAAACACTCTACAAATATTTATTTATATACCGCTTTTGCGCATAGCGCGCATGTACGGTAATTCGAATCATTTTGACAATTTAGGTTACAAGAGGAAGAAGCCCTACTTTTATCAATGAACTTAGCCTGAAAATCTCGATAAAATAGTAATAAGGTATATTTAAAGGGTGTGCTATTTTGGGACGAGCATGGGTGTTATATTTGGTCAAAACATATGCGTTATTACGCGCAAATACATGATAATTTATCAATAATGATATACTATGTACAAATTAGAGTTGCAGGTGAAACTAATTAATTTCACCAGTTTCACCTGGTGCACCATCGGTGCACCGTTGAAGATTAGCTTCATCTATAACTCTAGTTTTACTATCGGTGCACCAGTTTCACCTGGTGCACCATCGGTGCACCATTGAAGATTAGTTTCACCTGCAACTCTAGTACAAATAACCAATAAAATGCTAACCTTAACCCTATGTAATGCCAGGAAAGTAGACTGTCAGTGAGATGTTCATCTAGAAAATGGGAACAACGATCAAAGTCCCTGCACATTGTGAAAGGACCCGGAGTCCCGACCCTACGATTTTTTTTATTTATTAGTCTTCATATACATTTTATTATTTTATTTTATTACATCTTGTTATTTAATTTATTTTCTAAGCTTAGCGTAGTAGCCCCAAAAATAGAATAGAGTATTATTACCTTATGTAGAATTCGCGAACTTATTGCCCGAACTTCTTGAATTTTTCGCCCCGACTTTTCGTACTGTACTTTTTGAACTGCATGTTCCGTACTTTTCGTACTTTTATATGTTGTCATTATCTATTTTTGGTAGAATTAGTGAGGTAGCATAATTTGTGCCTTAGCAACGTAAAAACTCTAAATACGATGTCTTTTGCATTCACAATAAAACAGTTCTGAATCCAGTATTTTCTTTGTTAATCCCCGATAAGTCAAATTCGTATAGAGCTAGTAGTCTAATCGAATTAGAATTTCGTGACGTAATATAGAGCTCTAATCTAACAACCTAATTACTCGGACCAGATCTCACCACGCCTCGATCGTAGCCTGCCACTATTAGGGTTTAGATAGAGTTTGGTAGATTATTGTGTTGTTTAGATTAGTTTTAGTGCCGATTGATATCCGTATTACCCATATTTCCTGATTCGGAGAAGTTTCCCACTTTTGTAATGTACATACATACGATAACAAATTTTTCGATGATAGGTGTTACAATGCCCATGTGGAAATTGCATGCAAAGACTTATAAATAAACGTAATGCACATTTCCATATCTAACACATTCTTACATCAAATGTGAATTTACGATAATTTATTTTTAAAGCAGCCAGAACAAATCGACAATTCATCAAATGTCATTCAAATAGCCAATGATGTTACCCATTTGTATTTAGAAAATAATGATTCACAAGGTTTTCTTGATGAAATTGTTAAAGAAATGTATAATCTATATCATGAAGAAAGTTTAAAAGGCAAAAATTTCATTTTAATTATTGATATGTTAGAACAATTTCTACTTAAAAAGAAGCAAAATCCAAATAATATTATTAATTATTGCTTGAATAATCAAATTAATCCTGTGGTTCAAATTATTCTTGCAAGTTGTTATCGTTTTGGCAAATGGATTGAAAAAGATGAACATAAAGCATTCATTTATTATCAAAAATCTGCAAAGATGGGCAACGCAGCTGGAACAAATTTTGTTATGGAAATGGAATTGGAGTTGAAAAGGATGAACATAAAGCATTTATTTATTATCAGAAATCTGCAGAGATGGGTGACGCTAATGGAACGAATAGTGTTGGATTTTGTTATGGAAATGGAATTGGAGTTGAAAAGGATGAACATAAGGCATTTATTTATTATCAGAAATCTGCAGAGATGGGTGACGCTAATGGAACATTTAATGTTGGATATTGTTATGAAAAAGGAATTGGAGTTGAAAAGGATGAACATAAGGCTTTTATTTATTGTCAAAAATCTGCAAAGATGGGACACACTATTGGAACATTTAATGTTGGATGTTATTATGATAAAGGAATTGGAGTTGAAAAAGATGAACATAAGGCATTTATTTATTATCAGAAATCTGCAGAGATGGGACACACTATTGGAACATTTAATGTTGGGCGTTGTTATGGTAAAGGAATTGGAGTTGAAAAGGATGAACAAAAGGCATTTATTTATTATCAAAAATCTGCAGAGATGGGAAACATTAGTGGAACATTTAATGTTGGATGTTATTATGATAAAGGAATTGGAGTTGAAAAAGATGAACAAAAGGCATTTATTTATTATCAGAGATGGAAAACACTATTGGAACATTTAATGTTGGGCGTTGTTATGGTAAAGGAATTGGAGTTGAAAAGGATGAACATAAGGCATTTATTTATTATCAAAAATCTGCAGAGATGGGACACGCTAGTGGAACATTTAAAGTTGGAGATTGTTATTATAAAGGAATTGGAGTTGAAAAGGATGAACATAAGGCATTTATTTATTATCAAAAATCTGCAGAGATGGGACATACTATTGGTACATTTAATGTTGGAGATTGTTATGATAAAGGAATTGGAGTTGAAAAGGATAAACATAAGGCTTTCATTTATTTTCAAAAATCTGTAGAGATGGGTGACGCTGATGGAATATTTAATGTTGGATATTGTTATTGTGAAGGAATTGGAATTGAAAAGGATGAACATAAGGCATTTATATATTACAAAAAATCTGCTGATATGAACTTTAAAAAAGGATCGGATAAAATGATTAGTCCTGATGGAATGTTTTATATGGGAGTTTTTTATGAAAAAGGTATTGGCGTTGAAATAGATAAATACAAAGCATTCGATTATTATCAAAACTCCGCAAAATTAGGAAGCGCTGCGGGAACATATTGCCTTGGTAATTGTTATGAGAATGGGATTGGGGTTAATCGAGATGTGCATAAAGCATTCAATTATTATAATAAATCTGCTAAAATGGGAATAGTGATGGAATATATCGGATTGGCATTTGTTATCAAGATGGAATTGGAATTAAAAAAGATTTGCGTAAAGCTTTCATTCATTATGAAAAATCAGCAAAGGCAGGAAATGTTAATGGAATGTATGCTCTTAGCAATTGTTTCAAAAAAGGAATTGGAACGTCAATAGATTTGCAAATGGCTGAGCGTTGGTATCAAATGTAAGTGTTATTTTTAGTCTATTGAACACAGAATTATTTAATAACCTTATATATTTAATTATGTATTAGGGGTGTAATTTCATCATTAGGTAATAATTATTCATCACTAAATCTGCCTGTTAATGATATGAAAAAAAAACTTAAAATTGTGAAATTTTTAGTTGCAAATGAAAGAACGGAAAATCCTGATATAGATGATGACTTAAAAAGAATGTTAATTGAAATTAACTGTCCATGGATTCCTTATAGCGAATTTGAAATTATCAAAGAAATAGGACAAGGTGGATTTGCAACCGTATTTCATGCTAGGTGGCAAGATAAAAACAATGGAATAAGAGATGTTGCACTCAAATCACTCGATAGGTCATTAGCAATCAATGATTATTATGGCTCATTTAAGGAAGAGATAATTTCTATTTATTAATGATATTTAATTAGAAGTTCTTTTACTAATCTATATGATATCGAATTTTTAATAATAATGAAGTTGAAGGCATATTTTGACATACATAATGAGAACCCCACATTCTTAAAATGTTATGGAATATCAAAATATGGTAATTCTGAAAACTATATATTTGTTCTTGAATATGCGGCAAAGGGATCTCTACGTGATAATCTAAATTCTATAGCACAAATGAAGTGGAAAGATAAAATTGCTATATTGCTTCTTATTGCTTCAGAGGTATTAGAGTATCTAAATATTGTGCTGTTAAGTATACATTATTGAGCAAAAATTTGTAAATAACAGCAATTTAGCTCAACCGGACAAATGATATTGGCTGACAAGTGCCGCAAAGCGGCACTTGTCAGCCAATTATTTATCCGGTTGAGCTAAATTGCTGTTATTTACAAATTTGCCCAATAATAGTGTTATCCAATAATTTGTGATCATGATTGGTAGGGAGTCACTCGCTGAGTATGTTTTTTTGAATATAATTATATTGTAACACATGAAAAAAAATAACAGAAAGAAAGATTTTATGATTATAAGAGTTTGTCGGATAATATTTTTTATTTTTTGGTAATATTTTTCTGATACTAATAAAATTTCATAAATGGACTGATTATTACTAAAATTTTCTATGACTAACTTTATATTATTGCTCAATAATAAATAACTAAAAATTACAAATAATTATTATATGCAGGATATATGCATATATAAGACTCACGAATTTTTAATGCCATAATATTATAGTTCTATAGTGCCTTGGAATTGTAATAATGCGATGCCGTTGTTATATAAAAATTGCCTCCCGATATCCCTATGATCGTTCTATGTACTACCATGGGATATTTATAGATACTGTGAACTTACTTCTGTCATTTTTACAAAAATGCTACATGTGCCAACAACTTAAAGAAGAACTTGATTGGCGTGGCATATAGTTGCCGCAGCAGTGATCTTCTGAACTCTCCAAACAAATAATCGCTAATGATTGAAGGATAATCGTCCTACTAACCTTCATACTGACCCCTTATTATACACAGTGCCCCATTTTCCCAAATTGTTAAACCATATACATCGCTTTTAGTTACCATATTGGTCCCGATATTGGTGATGTGTAGTGTAGGGACAACACATGCCGCGACATCAATGGTAGTCCCTAAAAGGGTCTATTCGCTACTATGTCGATGATCCTAATTCCAAACTGGCTTCATTGCTGCTGCTATTTGGACAAAAAGCTCTATTCTGCTCGTGCCATCCATGTGGATAAGCAAGAAATAAACAAGCTTAAGGGCTTTCCACGAAATTATTATCTTAATAGAGACGGATCAAGCCTGGGTCGAGACTAGTGATGTGCCACGTACTGTACTATACGTACTGTACTGTACGTACTGTACTATACGTACTGTACTGTACGTACTGTACGTACTGTACGCTAAAATTTTGACAGTCATTTTATAAGCTCTGAAGTTTAGGCATAAAACTTATAAGTTCCTAAATATTCCGAAACGATTACGGAATATTTCGAAATTATGGTATAAAAAAAATTTACTATACGTACTATACGTACTGTACATACTGTACGTACTGTACGTACTGTACGCTAAAAAAATCCGAGTATCATATAAATGGCACATCACTAGTCGAGACCTATTAAAGATAAAGACCCAAAGCTTACATGTGAAATAGTGAAGGATTGGTGTTGATAAGAATGGTGGAATGAGTCAAGATAGATCGATAGAAAGAGTAGATTTAACAGTTGCCCACTGTAATTAAATATATAGTCGCGTTTATTATATAAAGGACGCAAATTAGCCCTAACTTAGCTCTTCAGACTTCGATTCCCCTTTAATAATTATATCTCCATATAATTTCCTTAATAGCCACTTCGAATTCTCCACTGTAATTCCTTAACTGTCTTCATACAGTTATATTCTTGTTATTAATAAACTAAACATCGTGTCTTCATACACGATCCCATTAATTTGTTGTTATCACGTGTGACTCGTGATTGCTGAGTATTATTGTGTCATCACATGTGACTCGTGACCTTTTTCTCACACAACCCTACGTATTTCCTCTGCCTCTTTCGTCAAAGCCTTAACAAACCTCTTGCTAAGTCTTATATAGACGCCTTCCTAACCCAGCTAAATCATAGTTTATTAGTCTGAGATAGACTAATTCCATAGTTTCCGGAAGTTGTATTAGAGGTCAACTTCACGTGTAACACCGTAAATGCTAATAAATGATAAATAGCCATGTAACACAGTCACACAAACCGGGAATAAATAAATATAAGGCACTAAAAACAGGAACATATTCAGTGATCTTTATATATATCAATATAATTTTTATCACTAGCCGGTTTTTCCATTAATTTTTTTTGTTTATTAGGCGCGGGTAGTGATGGGACATTCGAATTTTAGTTAATAATATATATATATATATTATTTAACTATAGTAAAGGTCTATTCCGATTTTAACAGCTGCATTACCTTGTTTAAGTGTGTCAGGGTACGTTGAGTATAACCCTAGTATGCGTAAGGTGAGCATCTTCCTGCAGTTTCAAATTATATAATATAATTGGAAATTTACTTAGTATTCGAAACACAGGAAGATGCAAACCCGGTGTTACTATCGGGTTGGGAGAGCGTCAGGTTATTGGGTGCCTGATTTAGATCAGGATAGTAATTGGATAAGAATTTAAGGGCAAGAAGGTGTTTACTTAAAGTGTGGGAGGGGGAGACTGGGGAGACTGATAGGAGAAGGGTCATATACGAACATTTCAGATATGAAATAGAAAGAGATTGCATATTGAGTGTTAAGGAATGCAAAATTGATGTGGGTGGATGGATTAATCTGATTGTCTACTATGGATGATCCAAGCATGAAAAGAATACAAATATTTTTTGAATTCAAATATTTTTGAATTCAAACAATAATATTAGAAGCTAAAGTTTATAAAAAAAATGAGGGAAACATACATTTTTGAAAATAGCAAGAACATTTGATTCGATCAGAATAAAGTTAAAAAATGATGTTTTTGTTCTATTTAAATTTATATTTATTATTGTTAATAGAATTTTTTTAATTGGCACAAATTACATGGGTTTATTAATGCGCCACCAACCTGGCACACATTCAAGAATTGCTATAAAATTTCGAAATGATTCAATACAGTTCGAATATCCCATAAGGAGTTTACTAATTTCCCCGATTTGTTCTACTAATTATTCACATATCGGAGTATCTGTGCTATTAATCAATTTATAGTACTCTGATAGTGAAGTGGTGGGAAATTAGTAAACCCTGTAAGAAAAATAATTTAGTAATGTATTGTATAAAACTTGAGATGATACGATGCAATACATTATTTATAGTAATCAGATCCTTTTTGTACTGGATTGTATAAAATGTGAAAATAGCATGTGTGCATGTGTACGTACGTACGTACGTACCAAATACTATAACCTGCTTTACAATGTTACATAATTATTACATATTACACAAATTTAACTTGGATTTTAAGTAGCAGCTAGGTTAAATGATAAATTACAAGAAAAAATTATTGCAAGATAATCGATCCGGTCGATCGGGCTGATACAATTTGACCATCAGGTTTTGTCATCAGCCCGCATCACTCTATATATAGTAGTTTGGTTTCTAATTTATAATTTGTTCAAACCAATTTTTTAAAAAATATAATTCTAATAATTAATTTTTTTCGTAAATGGACAATCTAAGGAATTTTTTTTGAATCTATCATAATCTGAATTTTTTCTTGAATAATCAGGAAGAGGATATTCACTATAATCATCATCAATAACATTGTTATTATCATCATCATCAACATTATTATTATTATTATTATTGTCAGCATTATTATTATCATCATCATTATTATTATTATCATCATTATTATCATCATTATCACCATTATCACCATTATCACCATTAGCATCACCATTGTTTGGTGAGCTGGGTGATTTTCCATCGGGTGCAAACTTACTATCATTTACTTTATGTGGTTCGATTTTCCAATGGCTTGATAAAACAGCACTTATTGGAGACATTACCGCCGGGATTGCCAAGCTAATTCCCATTGATGCAAAAATTGAAGCAATAGCTGTTGGACTAAGTAGGATTACATTTTTACCGACTAATTTAGCCGCTGATATCGTAACAGTTTTCAGCATAGCTTGTGCTGCTAGAATATTTCCTGTGGCTGTTGTCAATCCTGTAACTGTGGATACTCCTGTAGTTGTCACTATTCTATTTAATTTCTCGATAGATCTAGCATCAAATTCTTTGTAACCTCTAAATACAGAAAATACTATTTCGTTAATATATACTCCACGGTACTCTACAAATTTTCCTCCACGGCCAGGTGATCCTTCTTTCCCATCTATTCCTTTTCTGCTATTTTTTGTAATAATAGTAGGTTTTTCTTGTAAATCATCGAATTTTAAACATATAGTTCACACCTTCCTATATTGCCACCCACTCCTTCTCGCCCTCCATTTCCGCCTTCTTGTCCTGGGTCACGGGCTACATACATTTATCATTGTAAGTGAACAAAAGTTTAATACCTTTTTCTATTTTTGTTCCTGATACTTTTCCCCGTAAAACTAATGCAGTTTCCTTTCTACTATCTACCGTTTCTTTCTTTTTGGAATAATCGCCATCCTGTCCTTCGGCACCATCACCTCCGTCTTGCCCTCTACCACCATCACCACCACTAATATCAATTGTTAAAGAAGAGAGATTGATAAAGTTTCTTCCTTTAACATAGAAATGACCCCCGTTACAACCGGGTAGCCCAGGTAAACCATCCTTTCCATGCATTTCTAAACTTGCCTTTTTTATATTATCGTTATTAATTCTATCACACACATCTTTTCCATTAGTAGCTTCATTGATTGTTTCTTCTATCTTGACATCGGTAATAATTTTATTAACTGCTTCTTCATTAATTTCGTTTTTTGTATCATTTTCATTAATTATATCGTATTTATCTTGATTGTTTCTTCTATCTTTATATCGATAATAATTTTATTACCTGCTTCTTCATTAATTTCGTTTTTTGTATCATTTTCATTAATTATATTGTATGTATCTTGTTTATTGATTATTTTATTGGTTCCATTTTCAGCTTTTCGTGGATTATGTGAAGGACCTGCTTTACCTTTTAAATTAATTGTTCTTTTACCAACAACACGCAATTGAGGAGATATGAATGTCAGAAAGGCTCCTGGTGCTTCTATATCTTTATCAATAAATATCGTATTTAAACTGTACACATTTATTTCTTTATAATCCGTAGTATGAGATATACTTTTAGCAACATCTTCAATACCAATAATTGTGCCTTCGAAAGTTAATAATTGCCCTTCGTTATTTATTTTAGGTTCATACGTTAATGACTTTATAGCATTAATAAGTTCAGATATTAAGTGATACCAGCTACTTGTATTCCCTTGGATAATAATCGATTCTGTCTTTATAAGATTAATAAAATTTAATTGAGAAATCTTTTTTTGAAGCTCGTCTTTAAGATCATCTCTCCGTAAGAGCTGAATAATTGAGAGAACTTGTCTAAGTTTATCTTTGAATTGTTGTGAATTCTTAGTATTGGAAATAATTGTTTTCACTTTAGCGATAAATTAGTTTAAGGATTCTCTTAATTTTTTTAACAGTCATTATGATAATCTATAAGATTTTCAACGTAATTTAGAAGAGCAAAATAAAATTTCTTCGACATAAATTCTTCTATATCATTATAGAGCGCTCCTATTAGATTTTTGATAAAAAAAAATACCACATCCGGCCTTAAAGAAAAACTAGGTACAAGGTTTTCAATATAAGAAATTTTTTCTATACAATCTAAGATTTCAAATTTGTCTGTATCAGGAATTAACCCTTCTTTACATGGAGCGTTGAAAAAGGCAATTTGACTTCTATCAGAGGATAAAAAGTTGAGTATTTTTCTTTGGGATAAACTGAAACTTTCTAGATTATCTCGTTCTATAAGGGTTTTGCATAATCTATTTCTCACTTTTTTCAAATCAAGTCTTTTGTTTTGCGTTATCACCAAGCATAACCCTTTAATTAAATCATCGTTATTTTTAAAATTTTCCCCCCTAAATATTGAATAAGGTTTAAAAGCCTCCTTTTACTTCTTTCAATAATTGTATTTTCAGAAACAACAACTAAAACCTTAATATTTTTGATACTTTTAGTTAACGCATAAATCGAATAGGCATTTATAATATTTTGCTCATAGCCACGTGAATCTTCAAAACCAGGACAATCCCAATACTCCCTTTGATTTAATGGCAAGGATGTTTGTGAAATAGAACTATTATTAATTTCTATGCTATTTAAGGAATCACCAATATAAGATTTGACGCCGCTATAAATTTCAAATCTACCAAAATCATCTTCTTTACTAAACAAAGCATTTCCAACTACCGTATAGTTCCGAAATTAAGCACCCCCGAAATTAAGCACTATCAAATTTTATGTAATATCCGAAAATAAGCACCCACTATGTATAACCATAACTGATTTTTTACCAAGCAAGCCTACTTTATGTTTCTAAGTAAAGTTGTTTGCCAAGTCAAGACGATTTTAACGGCAGTAAAATCATCAAAATTGGTTCAGTAGAACTCTCACAATTGCTCTTCAAAGTTCGTGCGACTTTTGTTTACGA